GAGAAGTATTCTGCTTCAGGTCTCTGAGCAAAAAGGAAAAAAAAAGGGGTGGGGAGGTGGGGGGAGACTGAAAGGGGACATGTTCTCCTTAACCTCTGATGGTAGGACAAGAAGCAGGAAGGGAGGTTTAGGTTGGATATTAGCAAAAACTTCCTGTCAGGGTGGTTAAACACTAGAATAAATTGTCCATGTTCCTTGCCCATGTAATTTGCCGTGTTAGTGTACTTTTGCATAACCACACTTCTTGGATTTCCAAGCTACACTAGTGGCTTTTCTCAGTCTGTGATTATCTAGAATGCTGCAGCCTTTCCTTATTACTACACCACTTAGGACAGTGCCAGCCCCCAAGCAGCATAGAGGCAGACCCAGCTGTTCAGTGGAACGGGTTCTGGGAACACAGTACACGTGTTCTGAGCACTGTCTGTATATAGACGCACACTTTGTGTTTGTCCAGACTGACCAGGATTGATTTTGTAAGGTCAGCTTTCATTGTTTCTGTTGTACTGCTCCAGCCCGATCCCGTTTTCCTTGTGTTCTTTTGTGAGACAAAGGGCGAGAGACTGACCGCAGCTATCCAAGAGAAAGATGTATCAGCTGGCTCATATGTTGGCCACCATCTTGGCCTACACCAGGGTTTGAGTAGGGAGCCTCTGAGGTGAAAGCACAAGTCTCTAAAGCTAACAAGCAGCCTCTCTAGTTGAAGGCTGTAACAAACTTGTGTCCCTTGGAGATGGGGCACAGACAGGACAGATAACTCAGGGCATTCTAGTAAGATTTTGAATCTGTCAGCCACAGATTAGATTCTCCAGAGCCTTGCCATCATCTCGTTAGGCAAATAAATGAAGTGAGCAGATGTTCTAAATGGGAACCACTCCAAGCTGAGCTTGTTGGGAAATCTGACCTGTAAAGAATTCTAAAGAAATGTAAGAAAGTCTGACCCTGCCAAATGTCTAACTTGGCCAAACTTCAGTTGACCCCACGGGAGCAAAATGGGGGCGGTGTTACTTATTCCCCTCTCCTCACTGTCCTCATGGAGTCAGATAAACTCTGGGGGGGTTTCCTTTGTGACACTCTAGCTCGCACAGAAGTAAATGATTCCTGTTTAAACGTTGCCTAGTATTTCTGAAGTACTGAGCGGGTATGCAGGTAACACAAAATGCTATTGTGCACCCCCCCTCCCCACCCGATATGCATGCCACAGTGCTGACATTTCAGAGCTTGCAGGCATGAAAGAGGCCATGGAAAGATTGTGTACAAGCAGCAGGCCTATGGAGGTAGCTGAAAGAAGGCATTTTCAGCTCATGCATTTCGTTTTAATTCCATTTGTATTTGCTTGACTTTTATAATAAGATGCGATAAAGAACTTTTGACAGCACATGAACAGGGAGCAAAGATGCTCTCTGGTCAGGAGGACATTGCTAAGTCACTGTTTGTTCAGTGTATTAAGACTTTAGACCAAATCCAGTAAATGGACATAATTATTGACTTCAGTTTGAGGATCTGGCCCATAATATTGCTCTTGGAAAACTTAGGAGCTGTAGCACCTGTTCATATCTACCAAGTGTCAATGAGCCAGATTCTGATATGTGGATGCATGTTAAGTAGTACCTTTGTTGCACAAGGATTGCCACTCACACCAGAGGATATGCCAGGGATAGCAGAGATTCATGGATTTTAAGGCTATATCAGACCATTCTAACCATCCAGTTCAACCCCCAGCAATAGAAGTTTACCTGTGTCAAGACCCATAACTCATAGACTTAGAACAGCTTTGTCAGAAAGATAGAAGATGCGGGAACCTGCGATCCCTGGGTTCATGGAAAGGGGTCCACACTGGTCATCCTACTCATTGCAAAATGTATGTGCAGGTAATGCGTAAGGAGTCGTGTATTCTGTTTTCAAGGCATTGCAGTTAAAGGCAGTTCATACAGAGGTAGTGTGTCTCAAAACAGACTTCTCCAGACAGGAACTGGGGAGACCTGAATCTCCCTGGTCTGCCCTTCGGTGTCTTAAAAGGCCATTACTTTGGGTTACTTGGCAGAGCCCTGGCTGGGATGATTTAGTTGGGGATTGGTCCTGCTTGGACTAGAGATCTTCTGAGGTCTCTTCCCACCCCAGTCTTCTATTATTCTGTGAACCTGGGAAACGGAGGAAAAACAAGGGAGCTTGTGTCTCTCACTAACAGAAGTTAGTCCGATAAAAGATAATCCTTCTCTGCCTTGTTTTCCCCAAGAGGAGAAGATTGTTTTGCCTCACTTCAAACTTGGAGGGGCCTGTGTGTGCTTTGGTATTTGGCATGCATGTGTCTGGAACAGAGAGATAAGGGGTACATCGTGTTTCAAGGAAAAACAGGGTAGAAAGTGGATTGGTTAAATCTAGTTTCAAATGACGCACACTGTACTGTTTGCCTATAAACAAGTAGGGGGTAGAAAGATAGTTTGGATGTAACTTTGGGAGCACACCTGCTGCCTCAAGTAGATGTAGCAACACTTTGTGAGACAGCTTCCGGCAGACTGGTGCCTCGCAGACCCATTTTCCTGCACTTTTTTATTATTATGGTCTTACAGCAATTAAACTGACCATCGCTGATGATTTGCTCTCTTGGGTATATGTCATGGTGAAGCAAAGTGTGGTCAAGCACTTGGCAGGATCAGTATTAGCTGGCATACCTGGGCTAGCGATGGACAGCACTCTTTTCAGCAGAGCCTGAGCAATGAGAAGAGCATATTAAACACCACCCTGAAATTACATTTTCTCGCTTGGGTCATTTACCACTCTATTGCGTTGTGGGACGCAAATTCTGATCTCTGGTGGCCGAGGCTGTTTGCTGAAGGAATGCTGTGCGTGTGATTAGTGCCCTAGGCCTCCTGATAACCTCCAGCATATCATTAAGCCATCTAATGACTGTATGGCCCATTGACCTCCATCATTCATTCGTTAACAATGTTTGTTATTTACATGCACTAGAGACATTACCGCTGAGTATTACTCCCCCTTCTCCCATCATAACACTAGATGAACTCCCTCAACAGAACACCAAAATCCAGTAAATTGGCCCTAATGAGATGATTTGGTGTACAAACAAATTAAGTGTGTTTATTGTTTGTAGATGAGTAGATCTTTATTTATTTTTTTCCTACAGGCCAACTCCTTGTCATCAAGGTTTGACTTTCACAATCCAGCAAATTAAACAACAATCTGGAACTGGAGCGAGGATAAAACTGGGCAAAATGAATGGGAAATAATTGGTGTCCATATTTAAAATATCACTTTTTCAATGGTGCAGAGAGAAAGCAGCTGGAATTATCACCTATGTATAAAAGTTTGAGGGGACTGTGTTAGTCTGTAACTTAGAAAACAATGAGTTGTCTTGCAACACCTTAGAGATCAACAAAAAATACATATGGCACCATGAGCTTTCATGGGTACAACCCACTGAAGACGTGAGTTTTGCCCACAGAAGCTCATTATACCATACGCACTCTTTACTAGTCTCTAAGCCCTGTTCTACACCGGGGAGTTATTTCAAAATAACAAGTGGCGTGTCCACACTACCAGGCCCGTTATTTCGAACTAACAGGCTGGTTATTTTGAAATCTGTACTCCTGATTGCCAGAGGGAATAAGTTTATTTCCAAAGTTATTTCAGGAGCTATTATTTTGAAATAAATAATTCCCTAGTGTAGTCATGCCCTAAGGTGGTACAGGACCTCACCTTCAATGTAGCATTTAAAGCTATCTTTATGGAAAGCCTTTGGGAGTAGGTAACAATTCCTTGCTTTTCTATAGTACTGCTGCTCAGTAGATCTCTGAGAAGGTCATTATCATCACCCCATTTTATACATGGGGAAAATGAGGTAGTGGAAAGCAAAATGACTTGACCAATGTTCACCAGCAGTCTAAAGCTCATTGAAATTCAGTTGGATTTTGACACTTACCTCCTTGTAGATCCTCTGAAAATCTTAGCCTTAATGAGATTAAGGGGCTAGTTTACAGCCATGTTGTAATTTGCATTTTCCTTTTCAATTAAGCATTTATCACAGGTAGAAACTCACTGTAAATTATTGTAACTAAAATTCAGCATAGAAAGTCGGTTATGTTTTCAGTTACTAGTATAGTTATGCTTTGCTTAAACATCTACCCGGGTTGGTAAATTAATCTGTTAATTAAAATCATTGCATTCCAGTAGGTGGGGGAGGGGGGTTGCATTTCGTTTATGGGAAATTGAGGCTGAAGGAGGATCTGAAATAAACAACCAAATAGCCCTTTTCTCTGCTTAATAATGTGAGAGAAGCTTTAGATGCTGACTCCATCTAAATCAACAGGAGGGTTTTTTCCCCCCATTGACTTCAGTAGGCCTCATCCCAAGCCACTGAGGCCAATGAAAAGAATGTTACTGACTTCAGTGAAGCCCACGGTTCACAGACACGTGCCATAGCATTATGCTGCTGAAAAAATACGGCCTCAAGCCTTACCCTTCAGTTTCGTTATGATTCAGGTGGTGGAGCGAGTGGCTCCAATCCAGGGATTTTGTTATCAGCTCCATTATTGGTTATGGTTTGGAGAATAGACCAGT